AGGAAGTTATGGCGAGTAGAATTTAAAAACGCGTGATTTTTCCAAAATTCACCAACGCTTCTATTTCCTTTAGTGGATGTTGTTGCAGCTGAAAGATTGTTACACAACCTTTATTAGACTTACGTTTCGGCGTCTCCGCCTTCTTCAGAGCCTTTATGGACGATGATATTTGTAATCTACCCCTCCAAATGCTCTATCTCCACCACACCGGTACAACTCAATAGCCGACAGAGCCAGAAACAAACGAGAGACGCAAAACAGTTAGCGCTTACCTTATAGCCTTGCAGTCAAGAGTAGGCGACCACCCACAGTGAAGCGCCGCTGCTATGATATTGATATATTCAAATCACTCCCCGCCTCGACCCGACCCCGACCCAGTAGGTCAAGACCCACAAAGGGTCTGGAACGGTGCTAGCTCGTTTGTAACGGAAACGCATTCTTCCTTTCTATTAATTTTTGGATTTCGCGATGCAATCCAAAAGGCCTCAAGAGTTTTGCGAGCTATTGTTTGGGGTTTGTGCGATGATATTGTGACAGCCGTATCGAACGTAGCGTTTTCATGACACTATCTCCTTTAGAAAGAAGTCTGAGCCTATTTTTTTAGCGCACAATAATCTACAAGAACAGTATTATCGAATAGTACTTAGTAAAGTCTTCATGTTGGATAGGCGCTGCTTCACAAACTCGCGAAGGGACCTCCGCAGAAGAATTTGAGAAAACTGGAAACGGAATATCGAAGACATCGTACCCCCACTTCCAATATAACAGAAAATTCTTCGCGCCGAGCTGAACCGAATAATTGCTTTGGATTCAGAATTCGTCCACTCTGAGGCGAGATATGGCCATGCGACGGTGATGTCCATACGTGTAGCGACATGTAGCGACATGTATGGACATGTAGCGACATGTCCATACATGTCCACACATGCCCATACATTCGCGTCCATTTTTCAAAAAATGTGAGCGGTATTGTATATCAAACGTCATAGCCAAAACCCAAATCTCATATTGGCCTATTCGACGGTGAGGCAGAGTTCAGATCAGAGTGTGACTGCAGAAATACTACTTTGTCGCAGCAGGACTTCTCTTTTTGCCATTTCCGATCATACAATGCACCTTTGTTTGCTGTGCAGTTCCGTTTTTGGCTCATAGCATGCTATTGGTACAACGTTAACCATCGCGAGCACGCGGATGGGAGGCGCTATCTACACAAAAATAGCTGGCATATCCAGTTCCGCCCTGCCTATAAGTGCACTATGTTGAAGATCACCATTTCTTAGTTCTATACAGCATTTCCATGTTTTTGTCCCATTTCCTATATTTCCTATACGTCGTTTCCCTGAACCCACTGGTTTTTGTTATTTCTCACATCTGAGTATCAGGCCTAACAAAATATACGATAGAAAAAATAAAATAAAAAGAATCGTGGAGGTAGCGGAAGCCAAGACAATGGATAGTACTTGACAACATATTTTTACGAGAAGATGATAGCGTTCGAGCACTCATGACTATGTGGACTGCCGAGATAAAGAGTTGTCACATCTACACGAAAATTTCTCATATTGTAGTGTACGTTGCCCTATGTCAATGAGGATTGGTGAAGCTCAAGCATGATTTAAGATTCCGGATTCCAACAAAGTAACAGATACAATAAAAAGGATATCGGGCTTTGTCTACATCATAATTCTGCGTCGATAAAACAATTGCAAGTAGTTTTTATGTCATGTTTTCCAGTCGCATCCTGTTGCGCCGCAGCAACATTTTCGATAATTTACGACTTTCCTTCTAGGGCATAGTACACGGCTATTTTCAGGACATTTTGAGATCACTACCACAACCTTCAAGCAGTAGAAATTACTCATGCCAACGTTGGAAACAAAAACGTTTCAAATAATCACACTTTCTTCACAATTGTGAAAGAGAGTTGCAGGAATTGATATCGGAGGCGTTGCGAAAAGGATTCGCCGCCGGGTGAAATTGCCGAATTTTTGGGGCTAGTTATTGAAATGCTGGATTGTATTCACATCTTGGGATTCAAAACCTGGAGGCCGACTTTTCCACTTTAATTTGAGGGATAGAATTTTTTTCACACCTGAGTATGCCAAATGATGCGTAATGACGCTCTTTACCTTAAAGGCAGCGTCCGCGCAAAAACTCGATTTTCAGAAAATCCACATACCGGGTATCTGCAACGCTGAACCCGAAAATCCACATTAGAAGGCGCGGAAGCGGCGACAACATGCGTTTTCCAAAGCCTTACAATTTGATTTGAGTCCCCGCCTAGTCTGGGACGCAGAGTCACTGCGGGATCCTACATTTTAACTGTTGCGGCATGCGAACTCTGCCGCTTAGCAGGAACTCCAAAAGGTCGGAGGACCCCGCCCCAAGGCGTAAGTCTCCCCACTTCTCGATCGTTTTTCTTACTTTAGTCCGAACATTAGAACCTCGTAGTTGGGCGGTGCGTGTCTGAGGGGGCCACTTTCGCATGACAGTGATCCGGACACTGCCTTTCAATGTCATGCGAGAGTGGCCCCCTCAGACACGATATAGCGCAAGTCCGACGTCATAAGGCTCGACCTAAAGCAAGAAAAATGACCGGAAAGAGGGGAAACTTACGCCTTGGGGAGGGTTCCTCCGAACTATCCGATTCTTGCTATGCGGCAGAGTACACATGCCGCCACAGTTAAAATGTAGGGTCCCGCAGCGACTCTGCGTCTCTGCCTTGAGGGGGACCGTCGAATTTCAAATTGTGCGGCATTGGGAAACGTATGTTCTCGCCGTTTTCGCTCTTTCTGGTATGGATTTTCGGATTCAGCGTTGCGGATAACCCCTGTGGCCATATTCATCAACGAAAACCCAGTGGGTTCCGGAACCCAGTTTAGTGCATTTGATGAATATCGATGTAGAATCGATATTCATCAAAACCACTAAATGGGTTTCGGAACCCACTGGGTTGTTCGTTGATGAATACGGCCACTGGTAAGCGCATTTTCTAGAAATCGAGTTTTTGCCCAACACTTCCTTTGGGCAGTGGCTCGGCAAGTCTCAACCTAGTCAAATCTGCGCTTACCTGGGGTTTTTCAATAAGCTGATCCCGAAAATCCACGTTTGAAAGCTTGAAAACGGCGAAAATGAGCGTTTTTAATGCCCTTCCCTTTGGAATTGGACGAGTGGAGCAAGGCCGATGACGCTAAATCGTGGCATGACCCAACGGTTACAGCGTTGCGGGGGTAGGGGAACGAAAGCCGCCAGTTTGAGCCGCCTTTTGCGGCTAACTGGTCCTTTCGCAACGTTGTTGCATGTCGCCCCAGGACCAGCAGTCCGCGCAGGCGACCGAGGCTGGCGGCTTTCGTTCCCCTACCCGCGTTGCGGCGGGCAGCCTCCAATGGTGAGAAGGAAATTGCCAGCTCGTCCAGACGCGTGATTGGCCTGCGAGTTTAAGTTTGAGAGCGATTTTCTCGGCAGGGAAAGCATGCTGTGCAACCGGGATTGCACTGTTTTCATACTTGGGTGATAAGGAACCTACCGCGTTAAAATCGCGAGTTGTTGGATTTTGCCGATCCACTGCCTTTAAGGGAGGCCCTGTGTACCATTTATCGGTATGTAAAGATACGTTCATACCGCGTCGGCAGCCGTCGCTAGCCGCCTTTGCGCATCATCCCACTATCCGGGCCCCAATATCGAAACCACGAATTTTGCTCAGACGGTGTAGTGGGGTTATTCGGCATGCTGATTACAAATAGCATAATCTTTTAACTTTTCAACGCTACAGTCGGCTAGTGGCGGCTGCTGGCGCTGTATGAAGGCACCCTAAGGTTCTGCCGCAATCCTGAAGACCATCTACAAGCCTTATAGCGACATCTTCGGCTACATCCTCTAGTTTGCTGCTGTTTTCCAGCTATATGCTCATTTCATACGTACTTCGCTTCTAATGTGCAGTTTGAAGATTTTTATTCCACACCCGAATCTTCTGGGCATACACTGGCAAGACATGATTCTTCCCCTGCACAAGACCAAAGAGTCGTCGATGCAAACACTTTTGAGCGGCTAATAGGTAAAATCGTACATTTATTTCATCCAAGAAGTTTCGATGTGAGCCGTTTCATTATCCGCGAAAACTTTACTCTGGTCTTCGCCATCACTTTGGTACTTTTGACTGCCTATAATACACCTGTAAACAAATGGTCGCATAGCAAAAGCATTACAATTTCCCATCCGCACTGTCAAAGCAAAAATCTTTTCGGTCCATCTCCGATGTTTTAGACCAAGAGGAATTATTTTGTCCGCCATAGCGATTTGTCTCCTCAGTGATGTAGTTCAGTAATCCAATATCAACGAAATGCCGTAGAAATCGACTGGCTCTGCACAATTCGCCACAAAATCTCAGCAAATTTTGAAGGTAAATCGGTCTCCTCCTGAAAAGCTGAATAGTCTGCATCCATAAGTCCACCCATCCATAGTCTAACGCAGCATTACTTCATTCGCAAGGAGATGTTGCCCTCCCCCCCCCCCCCTTTCTCACGAAGATTTTCCGACACTATAGTGAAAGTTTTAGTGTAAGCACCGCTCATCACTCACACAATCAACATGCATAGTTAATGCCATGTTTATCCTCCTCTTCTCCTCCACAGAAATCGTATTTTTTAACCGTGGTCAAAGTGAAGATTTTTTTCCAGGTATCGTTGACTCGTTGACGCACGGACTGCTCAAAGCGGCGGACCTGCGCGGCGCGGCTAAAACGTTGCGAGAGCACGATTTGCACAATGGCGGATTTGTACTGGGGCAAGCGTTTTACCTCGCGGGGCATGCTCCGTGTGATGCCCAGTCCGTGCGGTCAACGAATGAAGTACACACCAAGGAACGCATACCATACGTTATGTCACGCATAACACACTGATATGCGTTAACCAATAACCAACGAAGCAACAAGGAAGAGCAACCGAAGCAGATAATGCAAGACGCACCCAACAAAATGAGTACGAAGTTTTAATTGCAAGAAATTTGCATTATTACACTAAATAATTGTACAAGTTGGCAGTACAGCGATATATCACAAAAAAAAATATCCTATATATACATACCCTAATCGCGGGCAATGAAGTTATCTAGTACTACATCCATTATTATTTCGCAGAGGCATTGAGATCGGCCACACGCTCCATCGCTATCCGTGGTGATTGTTTGTATAGAAGAAAATGCCCTTGTAACTGCGCGGGAGATAACTCGCAGCCAAGTGAAAATACGCGTTCTACAAACTCTTCACAAAGTGCATCGTCTTCGGCTAGGCCATAGAAACGACTGAACATCTGAAGGACGAGCTTTCCAGTGTGAAGCCAAAAATTTGAGCAAAACAAGCAGCTTACCTTTTGCGCCATACTCCTGGTTACGTTACCAAACAACTGCTTCCTATCTACTCGTCCAGGACGAATCAAAGCGGGATCCAGCCTCTCTACATAGTTGGTGGTCATAAACAAAATTCTTTCCTCAGCGGATCCAACGCCGTCTATTGCATTGAGCAAGCCAGAGAAAGTCACCCTAGGTGGACGAGCTACTGCAAAGTATTACAGCAGGAAGACAGCGTCAAGGCAAATCAGGGCGCACGTTTCTTACATGGAAACTGACCTGGAAGCCCGATAGATTTTGCACAACAGCTCATACTATTCATGCTAGAAAAAAATTGTCTGTATCCCTTTAAATCAAGCAAAACGTATCTAGCGGACAAGTGCGCTGTTAACCGCAGATACAATGTAAGATACTTTAAAGTTGCAAACGAGAGGAGGAGAGAGCCAAGAGTAGATCGCAAAATTTCCAAAAATGCCCTACATGAATCGTGAAATTGCGCAAGTGACTTTTTCGCCGGTAAACGATATAATTCTCGGATTTTTTTTGAAGAATTTTGCGATCAACTTTCTAAGACAACTTTCCGCTTTTCAAAATTTCAAGGATTTATGCTCCAAAAATTTTTATTTTGTCAAAATACTTTCGGAAGGGCGTCGCTGACACCACCGCATCCACCCTCTCCCCCTCCCAAAAAGAGAATTCTTCAAATCGACACTGGTTTCTACATACGCTCATTGCTGGTCGTGGATATGGAGTTTTTGACTGTAGATGGTGAGAGTTTCGTTGGCGTCCCGCATAAGTTGGGGACCCCCAACGTTTCCAGTGGAAAAATCATGCGCCCAAATTTTACTGGACCCTGCCTTCAAGACAAAAAGGTAAAAAGACTGCCATTTTTCTCTCCATGCATCACTTTTACACCACAATGTGATAAAGGAATAAGAAGTAGCTATTTTATCAAGTGAAACAGTTAGCAATGAGACTCACCTTGTCATACCTTGATAAGCTGGTTGATTATTCATGGGATCGGCTCTAGTCCCGAAAGCAGCATCGATGTCCTCTAGAATCACAACGCTGTTCACTGGAGCTGTGTTCAGCAGATGATTCAATCTAAGCAGGCACAAATAATTTTAACAAGTTGATAAAAAGTATTTACCCAATAACCCAATTGTAATGTGTGACTGGTTAGATTTGTGTTTAAGTTTCTGTGTTCTTTTTTCATGGCGCACCTCGAGTGCATATAGATAAATAAATAAATAAAATAAAATATTTTCAGAGATGAAGTGTAGTGTACTGTAGTCTCTCTCTCTGTATAACTATGATTTGAATACATAAAGTCCCCCACTTGATTCACCTAACTGATAGCAATTTACAACCAAAGGTGCATACAGAGCACCAACTAATGAATGATAAAGTTCCCATTCTAACAGGCTTTTATCAGTCGAAAGCACGAACCTGTCATCATCAAGCGTCCGTTCACTAAGAGACAGCATACAGACGCTGTATCCAAAATGACTAGCCAATGCCGATATGAAGCTGCTCTTTCCTGTCCCTGGTGGACCATAAAACAGATATCCCCTTCGGTATGGAATTCCGCGCTCTGTATACCTTAAGATGACTTATGGCTTTAATCAATAAGTTTGAATTTATCTTTATTATCGTCTGGGTACTACAAGAAGGGATGGACACTTCAAAAGCCCTTCTCGCTTTTATATAGTACTACCTCTTAATTGATATTTACTGTGTCCACTACCACGTTGAACTAACCCATCTGGCACAACAACAAAAATTAATCCTATAAAGCAGAAAACTCACCATTCAGAGGATTCGATGAACTCCTTGAGATCTTCTACAAGCTCTTGTGCAATATTTCCATCAAGAACTACAGTGTGTACATCCCTTTTTCGCCTTGGTGCGCCAAAACGGATCCATTGCGGACCGACAGCTTGGTACACTACCAAACCAGTTTCTTTCTGACATAAAATAAATTTCAAAATGAATGGACAAAACTAGAGAGATCACCTTAGCAACAGCTTCCAAGGATGCCTCCTCAAGCATATTTTTCAAGAATGCTGGATCTGTTCCCAATGTAGTTAGAGTAACGGTCTCGAAGGGCGTACGATAGCCATCCCTCTGAATTGTTTGTTTTTCTCGTTGTCGTTCTACTTTGATCCATCTACAATGGTCAAGATGGATGGAAAGAAGACCTACACACAAATGTGGTTCAAATATGGCTAAAATACCCACCGATACTTGTGCACGAAGAAATGTTGGCCATGCCCTGGCAGATATGAGATTTGCATAGCTGTTTTTCCGCTTTCTGACTGAGAAATCATCGTGTTAACTGATAAATTTCTAGTCTGTCTTGCACTTCTTCTGTTAATGAAATCTAACAGCCATGGATATGCACTGAAACCGAATTTTGAAAGATAAAGCTAATAAAGAATATTGCTACTCACGCGTCTTCATTATTAATTTGGAGCGAGATCATGAATCTGCGTCGAAAGTATGCATTACCAATGATTGTAAGCCGACGAAGGGCTCCCATAGCTAGACCTAAAAGAGGAAAAACTATATGAAGCGCGGAACCATACAAAAGAAAGATAAAGGAATGGACTGCGGCGGATTGAAAAAGTAAAGACTTAAAGGCACCGTCCACCCAAAATCTCGAATTCAACGTTTTTGTCGCTTTCAGGCCCTTTGAAAGCCCTGGTCCCGAATATGGAGTCGAAAATCCGCGAAACCCCCAAAAATCCCTGTTTCGAGAATCCTCTGCAACAAGCGCAGGCGAGATAAAGCATGCAAGTGGGCGGGGCGACCATTGTGGCCCCGCCTACTTTGCTACTTCCGGAGCGGATTTCTCGCTCCAGAAGCAGTCTTTTGCGGCGAAGCTTGGAAGTTTGTCTAGTGTGGGGACCCACGTAGTATGCCATCATAATCTCGCCAACCTCCATTTTGGGTGAAAGGTGCCTTTGAAGTATCACAAAGAGTGGAAGTCTATATATAGGAATCCCGACAAGGCATGTCGGCCGTAGTATAATTCATTCGTAGCCAAAAAAAACAAATTTCAATACTCGTGGTATCCGGACTTTTCTAAGCGGTGCAAAGAGCTTCGAGTAAAGCACAAGCGCTGCCGCTTATTTAATGGCCTGAATAAGATCTCTCAAATCGTTGTGTATGAGACTGCTCCAAAGTTGCATGCGTGCCAGCGCCGTGCCAATATGCACATGAAGGCGTCTCCATCGATGATCAAGCTCGCACGGCGTCAGCACGATGCTGGCACGCATGCCTGGTGAGCATTAGCAAAAACCTAGCAATCTAGAGCTGTTCACAAGTCAAAAACTCTATTTATGATTTTGTAGTTTTGTATTCATATATTTTTAACTATATATGGAAGACCACAAAATCTGTCATCAAACAATATTCGAAGTATCAAAAAGTTAAGTGAGGATCGTACCTATTCCAGCTAGGCCTGCTCCTGCATTGAAGTACGGATTTGTTTTCAATGTATCCTTCAACCGCTGAAGTAATGTCACGTCAGGTTCCACCGTTTGTGAGGTTAGTTGCAATTCGCCTGTGTCGATGGACGTCATTTCTGCAATGAAGAGATCATCGGACACCAAATTGCAAGCGATGACGCTTCGGAAGAGAAATATACATCTTTAGATCTGCAGCTTAGACAAAAGCGAAGGATCAGATCCCGAGAAAAGATAAAGACAGTAAAGATGTCTTAAGCTATCACAAGCTATATATCTTATATATAAAGCTGAATGTCTGTTTGTATGTCTGTCTGTCTGTCTGTATGTGTGTACGTATGTTCCGAATAGAAAATTCCATTTCTGAACCGATCCGGACCAAACTTGGCACACATACACTACGGGCCCCGGCGGGTGTCATAGGCTACTTTTCGTCATCGATCGATATCGATTTTATCGATTTTTATCGATTTTTTTGCTGAGTTCACCTACGGGCTGGGAGTTGGCACAGGGGGGTAATCGAGCATGGGGAATTCGAATACAATATTGGTTTTCAGGGTTATCGATTACTTTTATCGATTTTATTGATTTTTTTGCAAAGTTTGAGCTACGGGGCTGGGAGTTGGCACAGGGGGGTAATCGAGCATGGGGATTCCGAATACAATATTGGTTTTCAGGGTTATCGATTACTTTTATCGATTTTATCGATTTTTTTGCAAAGTTTGAGCTACGGGGCTGGGAGTTCGCAAAGGGGGGTAATCGAGCATGGGGATTCCGAATACGATATTGGTTTTCGGGATTATCGATTACTATTATCGATTTTATCGATTTTTTTGCAAAGTTTGAGCTAGGGGGCTGGGAGTTGGCACAGGGGGGTAATCGAGCATGCTGATCACCCCCAGGGGGGTGATCAGCATGCTCGATTACACTCCTGTGCCAAATTCCAGCCCCCTAGCTCAAATCTTCAAAAAATCGATAAAATCGAAAAAGTAATGGACGATCCTGAAAACTAATATTGTGTTCGTAATCTGCATGCTCGATTACCCCCCTGTGCAAACTCCCAGCCCCGTAGCTCAAACTTTGCAAAAAAATCGATAAAATCGATAAAAGTAATAGACGATCCTGAAAACTAATGTTGTATTCGGAATCCCCATGCTCGATTACCCCCCTGTGCCAACTCCTAGCCCTGTAGGTGAACTCTGCAAAAAATCGATAAAAATCGGTAAAATCGACATCGATCGATAACGAAAAGTGGACTGTGACACCCGCCGGGGCCCGAAGTGTATGTGTGCCAAGTTTGGTCCGGATACGGCGGAGCCGGGTAAGCCAGCTAGTACAAAATAATCTCTAAATATCTCTAGATTTTTGTTGACAGGATAAACGAATGCAGAACATGGCCCATACAAAGCCAGAATGGAAAAGACAAGATCAAGAACCACACGAGCGAAAATTTGAGTGTCGGAGCTTTCAAAAAAGAAGAAAAAAAAAGAAAAAAAGCGCATGCATGAGTCTAGAAGAAAGTTCAGTTCAAAAATTAGAGGCTCGAGAATATTGATGCGTGCATTTGCGTATCAACAGCTGCGAATTACGGCCAGTGCGGCATGAAAAATTCAAAGCCGCGACCTCGTTTATGCGCTTCGTTCTTGTATGTATGATTAGTTTCTATCATCCAGGGTTATTTTCAGGTTTATCAAAGGTGGTCGAATGACCGCGCCAATTGCAAAGAGTGTTTGGGTGAATTTATATAAGAATTTAGAAAGGGAAGCAGCTAAGGTGAGTTTTACATTTGCCATTTGGTTTCATTCGTTTTTAATTCTAAATTTTCTCTCTCATATCTTGCTTACGTTTGCAAAGTGTTGTTGTACGGGAGTACTGCAAGAAATGCTAAAAGAGTTTGTAGCTATGAATTGACCGTCGTATTGATGACATAATGATCTTGGGTTTTTGAAAGCTTTTTTGTGATACATGCTGATTCATTATACGATCCAAGACGATATCATAGTTTTTTTCAGTTTCCTCAGTATAACTATAGAGTATTCTTTCAACGTCGTATTCGCGAACATTTTGAAGCAAATCGAGGTGTGTCCGATCCCGTCGCTCAAAGGAAACTGCTAGAGGTGCTTTCTTCACTTTATTTTTGTAAGCACTCGATAAAATAATTCTTTAGAAAGGGCAGAAGGAGCTTGAAGTCATACGTCGTCAAGTAGTGATAAGTCAGCTCTATCCTCACAATAGGACTGTAATCGAGGAAAAGCTAGATACTTCTCATAAGTGGGTTGAATCAGATAAGATTTCTCGTGATTGCACTATATAGATGTCGTTTGGTGCCAAAATTTATGTTTTCAGGAATCAGAGTGGCAAAGATCTACAGTGAACAGCAGGAGTAGAAATAAACTAGAGGTGTGTCATTCGTTCTTATCTCATATATCGTGAGAATTGCCTCTATTACAACTAAGAATGGTCTGTCTTCTTGTTTCCAGGAGTTTTTGTACACAAGTAATCTATATACTATTACCAATCACAATGAGGGAATGTACAAAATGCAAGTCAAACGAATATACCAACAAAAATCTGGTGATGATGGTCAACGAGTGTGGTCATCCGCTCTGCAAGTATGTTAACTTTTGACGTTTTCCTTTATACCACACTGCTATTTTAGGAATTGTGTAGAAAATCTTTTTGTGCGAAATGCTGGTCCGTGCCATGTTTGCGGCAAGACATTGCGAAAAAATAATTTTTGGGAGCAAGTCTTCGATGATCCGCTCATAGAGAAGGAAACACATATACGTCGGCGATTGAGGAAGGTCAGTACCATTGCTATGAATAGAGCTATCGGCACATTCGGCTGAGCTTACGCCTGTCACGCTGTTCTTTCACCTTCTTCTTAGATTTCATGACTAAACAGAGTCCCATTCTGTTTTTATATATGATTGATGACTTTACCTGTTTTCTTAATATATTAGTTCGTTTTAGATCTATAATCTAAAAAAGGACGACTTTCCTTCTTTAAGGGAGTTTAACGACTATCTAGAAAGGTGCGTCTCAACTTCATCTTGTTTTGATTGTAGCCGTTTTACACCATACCGCCATGTTCATTTTTCATTTTAGATTTGAGACAATTGTTTGTAATCTCGCCTTCGGCATTGATGTGGATGACACAGAAGCTGAAATTGCCGCCTTCAAAGAATCAAATGCCGAGTTGATAGAGAAAAACAGAAAGAGGTAAAGGCCCTTTTTATATAAGTTGTGTGTTTAAAATCAAAGCGATTGATGTTTGCAGACTAGACGAGGACCAGATATGGATCATGCAGAATCTGAAAGAAGATCGTGATATGAGAAATCGTGTCGATCAGGCGCATAGTCAAGAAAGCGTAGGTTTTTCTTGGTATTGCTTTTTCTCAGTTGTACTGCACTTAGATTTTTTGCTTCGACCTTTTTCTGACGCTAAGGTTTCATGGAAACTTGAGTTTCTTGAAACTGGAACAAGATTTATTTTTTGATGTTTTTCTTGAACATTTACTAGTCGAAGATCTCCTCACCTTTTTTTGCATCATGCACACCGCTTTTGTGTAGAAACGAAGTACGCCATTCCAGAAAGAAGCGGAGAAATCAGCGGTGAAGGATACAAAGGCGATTATGGAAGAACTACGCGAATCCAACGTACCTGCTGAAGTGATCCTAGATAGGGAACGAAAGCGCCAGATTGAGCAAGAGCTTGAAGAAAAAGAAGAAGCAGCAAGGAGGAAGAAGCGCAATAAAGGTTTGATCCTTGCTTGGTTACTGCATTTTGCACTTTTCAATGACATCTTGCTTTGTGATTTAGAAATTCTGCAAGATAGGAAAAGAATGGCTGAATCGATGTCCTTCTCTACAACGCAGCGTGTGTCCGGAAGAGCTTTTGAATATAAACCACCTCGATTACACATCAATGGTCCACCAATACCGTCAAAGGATGAATTGGAATCGAAGGGTTATCTGCAGCATATTCGTGCTGCGAGTATGGTAAGGCTGTTTATTGATATGCTTTCCTTGCTTCTTCGCTAAGGAAGCAACTTGAATCACTTGAAGATTTCTTTGTTTCAGGCTCGGGTTGCTGGAGGTTTTACGACTCACACTGGTTGTCTTCGGGCTTTGTTTGATAGTCGTGTGGATTTGCTCAGTTTCTAGAATCATCCTTCTACAGTGTTTATAGTTTTTGAATGATTTGTTGCAGTGACTGATTCAAGTTATGTGTACGTTACCATTGTTATCTTATAGTATTCTTGTATAAAGCCAGAGAGTAATCTTTGTTTGTTTTTGAGGATAATTTCGTTTCTGAACGAGCCCGCTTCTTCATGTATGAGTTTGTGGGCTATTCTATTTGATTGCTTGATTTAGGCATGACGGAGCCTTTAGATCTTTCACTCGCATACCAGAATATATCCATATTCTACAGTGGAGTCAACAATGAAGAAGCAGCAAAATGGATCAATAGTGTACAGAGCTCGGTAAGCATCTGCTTCTTCAATTTGATTTTTTGCATGTTATTACATTTTCTGTGTCGGTTCTCAGATATTTTCTCGATATCGCCGTTTTTGTTTCAAAGACCATTGATATGAGTTCTTTTTTTCTTGGTCTAGAAGGATTAGCTACGTTCTCCGCTCAAAGCGGGAATTTTTGGTACTCGTCAAAACATCCATGTCGGTAGGTACACGCATGGACCCTCTGCGATCGGATCCTCTGCGAACGCCGGGATCCATTGGCTTGCTGCTTTGCCGCTCAGACACTTCGGCAGAAAATTATGAAGTCCCTTTCTGAACTTCCCAAAGACACTTATTTATCGCTCAGAGAATCCATGATAGCACATTTAAGGTGGGATTTTGCAGATTTTTTTGAGCGGTGACAAAGATTACTACTTTAGCAACATTGATGTCTCAAGCCACGACCAAGTTGCTGATGCCACAGCCACTCAGCTATGCCTAGCCGTTGCTGATTTGTACATACAAGTGCCTGAATGGAAGGATTGGGTCGCTGAACTGCTAAATCGGTAAGTGTGGACTACAGCTAGCGTTTTTTCCTCGTCTGTGTTTGTTTTATAGGGATGTAAGAACCGAAGTTTGAGGTTTTATTTGCAGGTTCTCGTCCCTCGGCGGGGACAGGACTAGGATGTTGTTGACGTTGCTACGAGTATTTCCAGAAGAAGTGCAATGCTCCAGAGTAGGCGAAAACCGCCGCAATGAAATCAGAAATGAGCTGGCTGCTAGTGCGGCTAGTGTTTTCACATACTTGGTGAGCTATAGAAATATCTCAAACTTTTCCGTAACTATTATCTCTTGTAGTCACAAGTGCTCGAAAATTATGCCTCTGATCAAGATATGATCAAGAAAGTACTCCTATGTATGTCATGCTACTTGCAAAATCCAGCGCTGTCCACAGAGTGTCTAGCGTCAAGTCCATTACTGAACACAGTGTTTCAAATACTGGTAAGAAGATATTTAAGCCCACTCTGTAGAAGTAGAATCTTGAATGGAGGAGATATTGCGCTTTTGTCAGGCCGCACCTAATGCTCCTGGCAGTTTGCATGATGCGGCTACGGAATGCGTTGTCTCTGCGCTAATACGGGCTGAAGATTACCAGACACATCAAGCTCTTGCAATGAATCTGCAATCAGCTGTATACCAACTTCATGGTCCCTTCAACCAAGCCGTTGCAATGGAAGACATGGACAAGTGGGTCATTCTGCTTTTCAATTGTTTTTAAGATTTCTACTTCTTATTTTAGGCTACAAAACTTTGCACGAATTTTTGTCGAACTGGCGGAATCGTTCATTGAGAAGCTTGTTAATGATGGCAGTGACGATCCGAATAGTTTGGGCAGCATCCATACACTGGAGCTTTTACTGCTACTCGCTGGTCATCACGATTATACGGTAGTTTCCTGAGATTTGACTGCTGGATCTGTAGAGGGCCCTGTTTTAGTTGATAGAAATGACTTTCAACATCTGGTATCGTTTGTCGGAGGGACTGTTCAGCTTTGAAGATGATCAACATATTGAGAAGTTTAAGCCATATGTTCAGAGGTTTGTAAATAGTTTAGTTTCGAATGGAGTTTCAGATATCGTTATGTCATTTCAGGTACTTAGCTGCACTTTATCGTCATTGTCGATACGATACTGAAGAAGAGGGCATACCAGATCGCGATGGAGACTTTGCTGACTTTAGGCTGAAGGTCAGTGGTCCCTATTTTTGCAGTTTTATCGCTTTTCTGATTTGGACGCTCCTATATTAAATTCTAGGTGATAGAAACCGTCCGAGATGTAGTATTTGTTGTCGGAACAGAATCATGCGTGACGAGTGTGGGTCCATTTGCTAGTTGATAGATTTTCTTATCTTCTCTTTCTTTCATGTAATATTTAGATGTATAACATGCTGAAAACATGTAGCCAGTCTGGTACATGGGATGAAGCAGAAGCTGCTCTATTCATAATCTCGACTGTCATCAGCAACATCATTCCGTAAGTTTACGAATTCAGGGTTATTTGGCCCATATATGTGTCGTTTATTTTTCTAGAGAGGAGAATAATGTGATCCCCGAACTCGTACAAGCTATAGTGACACTTCCCATGACTTCACATCCGGCTTTACTTCTCACATCTGTAGATTTGTTGGGAAGCGCAAGCGAGTGGCTTAGTAAAAATACTTCCTTCTTAGGTATGTTCGTTTGATTATGTTGTATTCCGAGGCTAGATAGATAATGCCCTTTTCAGGAAAAGTAGTTGAATGGTTGCTACAGCTTGCTGTGACGCCTGCATTCGCGGCCCCTGCTGCAGATTCTATTGAGAAGGTGCGAAAGTTGTTTTGCAAACTATATGTTTTTCTGGTATTTTACCCACGAAAATCATCTCAGATTACCTTGCGATCATCTGCCGAATTGACTCATCTGATTCCTCTGCTGGTGCAACTAATCCCTCACCTTGAGTCATCCCAAAGTCATGGAAAGAAAATGGAAACCGCGATCTCCAGCTGCCTAAAAGGTTTGGTTCTTTTTTGTCTGAGTGTTTGATACGCGCTTCATCATCCTTTTAAGCTTGTACCATGCTCATCATGAATCTTCCTGCCGAAGAGATACGAAGTCGCCTTGTAGAATTATGTCAGCCCATCATCCAACGACTGCAAATGGTAGATCATTTCTGTTTTCAACTTTCTTGGTCCTTTAAAACCCTGTTCAGGTGCTCACAGCTACACCTGTAGTCGTGGCAAACAATGAAAATGAGAAGTCAGCAGATTCTTGGGCGCGAATTGCCAGTGAGCCCATACTGTGGATTGATCGTATCGCTACGATATTCCGAGAAGTTCGACCATGGAATGGAGGGGTCTTGGTGAGCGTGCGTGGTTAGAGTACTATGCACACAATAACGAATTTGCTTTTGCTTCCTTGGATGCTTTATTTCTATGAGTGCCTTTTTCTAGCGGACAGTCAACAGTTCCGATTCTCCTGACGCAGCACCTTGGCTGGATATTGCTACTGAGCTGTACAAAGTGCTCTCTGAGGCTCTGAAACGATATGAAAGCACGGCAAGGGTGGTGGAACACTGCTGTCGGTCGATCAGGTAGTAAATGCAGTCTGAGGATTGTTGGTTCAAATTCGAACTTCGATTTTGAGGTTCATTGTACGCTCTCTTGGTGTCCAGTCTATCGGATTTGTTGAACCGCTAATAACGCAGGTACGTTCTCAAGTCTTTGCTGGATTGTTTTCTGCGAATTTGGGTCAGTTTTTCTCTTCCTTATTGCCTTTTCCATCAGATGATGGACATATTCTCTCGTCATCAACATTCATGTTTCCTGTACCTTTCTTCTATATTAGTGGATGAATATGGCGCAATGGAATCTCTACAGCCTGGCTTGATGATCATGCTCGAGGTAGGACTGCTCTATACCGCTTTATGCTTGGACATGTGTTAGCACCCGTTTTTAGACCCTAGCTCATGGAACCTTTACGGTTTTAACTCTGGAGAATGGACCTCGAGATCACCCCGACACGGTAGATGACTTGTTCCGGTTGGCTCAGAGGTACGTTCTTGATTTTTCTCGAATAAGACCTCATGAGACGAGGTTGTTCGTTTAGGTTTGTCACACGGGCGCCATCAGCTTTCTTTGTACATCCAGTTGCGTCAGCCCTGTTTGAGTGTGGTATGGTATGTTTGTCGCTGGATCATCAAGAAGCAAATAGATCGGTCACCCGGTTCTTCACCTCCATTATTGAGCAATTGTTGTCTGCTCGAAAGGTAAACAACAATGTGTTTGACCCTGTAAGTTAGAGCTTCAGTTGTTTTATCAGTGTTTGACGAAGAAAAGAGCCATAACGATTTAGGAAAACTACCGTGATCAAGGTGTGATTGCGGCCGAGGAGCTAGTGATTGCGCATGGGGCGCGGCTGATAGAGTTGACATTACAAGCTGCAATATTCAAGGTTTGTAAATTTTAGTAAATTTATCATGGTTTTAACTTTTCTTCTTTAACTATTTGATATTTTCGCAGGCATTGAGTTGTTTTCAGGTGACAGGATCGCTGAGGCGAGATCTTGCAGAGATTGTATACATGCTCGCTAAAATTGATAGAGGGGTATGTTTCATTTTTTCAATGTAAAAGTGGTTTTTCTTGTTACATTTCAATATGGTTACCGGCAAATGACTTGTCTCATTTTCTTATCAGATGCTAGAGGTAGGCAGATTCGTCCATTTCCTGTCTTAAGTCTTCTTCATTAAGCCCAAGTAAGGGGTGCGAGCTATAGGGGAAATGACATGACTTTTTTACTGCTTTTTTTGCTTTCTTTAATATGATCATCGTTTTATTCTTGGGGCCCACACAAACGATAAACGTTGCGCTGTTCCTATCTGCTCCTATATGAACTCCCTCTAATGCATAAGCGCCAAGCAGGATTTTGTTTTAATTTTTTGCTTACTCGTAATATTTTGTACACTAGTGTTTCCTAGTTTTGTTTCCCACAGTTCTTCAGTATGGCAATGCTTAGTCACAGAGATTGAGAATCACTCCTTGGAACATTTTTTGCGCTTTTTGAATCTTGTTGCATTAAACTTGGACCATTGTTTGTGTAGTCACTCACTTTTACTTGAGCCTTTAAGAACTAACATTATTGAAATCAAAATCACAATCCTTTTTGCACAATTTTTTTTCGAGATGCATGTTCGCATCCAAATGGAATCGTGAAGAATCTAAGCAGTAGTGTTTAGAAAGGCTTCAAATTCTGTGCAATCTAGTAAGAAGCTCTGCAGATTGATTTGTTAGTGTCCGTCTTCAATGATTCAGTATTCAGAAACACAAAGAATGGCTCATAGCTGGAACTTCTCGTCTTCCACGCGGTCCTTTTGCTGCAACTGATGAACAACTGGAGCAATTCGTTGCCAACATCACTGCTGAGTGAGTTGACTAATTTAAATTCACTACGACATGTATCATCATCTTCAAACATATTTTCAGTCCCGAACGTGTGTCAATGAGAGATGTGTACACGCAGATTCGCGACTTGATAAAATTATACGAGTAGTTAAACCGTCATATTATTGTCATTCTGCGGGTCCTACAACAATTGATCTGACGTTCTGATGTAAGTTTGCCTCCCTTAAAATTTCTGGTACACTAAGAAGTGACTAGGAAGGATAGAAAGAAGGACAGGAGATGTTTTGAAGAACTTGGCATTTAACGTTGTTTGATCCGTAACAATTTTGCTCTTGAGTTTTGTTCCCTTTATCATGATATCCGGTATATAATTGATTATACTTGTACTCGTTATTATTCGATTCGAGACCTCATTGATCATTTTGCTCATATATATATTGTTGTACAGTTTATGTTGAAGCCGGTAAAGTAGCCGGCACTGAGGTTCGCCATGTCTGCGCACCTCTTTAGGCTCTGACTCCATAAGGTCTCGACATGTGGGTTTACAGTATTTGTTGGTAGTTTTTTGAACTTGTTTTTACTTGATTACGAGTAGGTAAGTTTTAGGAACTTGTTGTTGACATATTAAGCTTATTAAGTTTATATTGTATAGATATTTTCAGTAGCCTGTGTAGGTCATTTTACCAATTCAGAGTTTTTCGAAGTTGGATAATCTTATGTCAGTTTCCTAAGCGTTGTTTTTTTGCATAAGATGGACTGAAATTTTGATGAACCGTTACATTAGGAATTTTTGTCGGCCGCTGTAGGAATAGCCTTTTGGAAACATTGTTTTGTGGTTTGCGTTTTGCCTCAATGCCTTAACTGTCAGATTCAACTAGCCGGTTTTTACCTATCTGCTTAGTTTCCATCTCTGAAGTAATTATTTTGATATCTATTCGTTTTTCTTTGGTACAAAGCCTTTTGGCAATAAACTTCCTAATAAGCCCTATTTCATGCTGGTCACAGTGTGTAGAACAGATGGAGAACAGACCTAATTTTTTGACGGCATACATTTGAATCGCTCAAAAGCTGCTTTTTCGAGATTTTCCCGGTCATCAGGGTGTGCGATCCGAATCAGTTCATAAGCTCGTTGCCGAATGTTCTTCCCGAATAGATCCGCAATTCCGTATTCTGTAACTATGTAGTGAGTGTGCCCTCGTGTTGTGACGACTCCTGCACTCTGGAATAAATATCAAATTATGACAGTGATGAACACTCCAAAATCTTTCACTGCTTTCTTCTCCTTACCCCTCCCCGTTGTTTTTCCGTTATAGGGTCCCCAGGCAAAATGGAGCTGAACTTTCCATATAGAAACTGGTGAATTCTCAACTAAGCAATTGCCCAAGCGGTATTTTATATAATCCATTGTGGCATAATTACTCAAATGGCACAAATACTCAATTCTAAACTCTCACGAAACCCGGTACCTATGTTCGAGAATGCCGGTTGGTCCGCTTGAGAAGAGTACGGTATGGGCGAGAGTGTGAAGTTTCGGTCTCGAAATGAAGTATGTGTGTGAGCTTCCGCTTAAGAATGGTTTAGCTGAGACTCCCAGGCAATTCCACATAAAAAGTCAGGTACTTCAATTAAGCTGGAAATCACCTTCGAGTATCCCATCTTAATTTTTTTTCTTGCAAAAATCATGGTTTTGGTAGAAGAATGAAATATAGCTTTTATTATTTTGTGCTGGGTTACCTCTGTCAGGGAAGAAACTATCTTTGGTTTCCCTTTTGACGTTCGCGATGGAAGCACTATGATCGCTTTGCCTTGACCATCATGAGCTGTTGCTGAAGCTGAGACGAAATCTACTTGGCCACCGAACCCTTAAAAGACTAGGATTATCTCGGGTTATGCGGTGGATAGCTTGACCTGAGTAAAGAGTATTTCCTATCGAATCGGAGGCAATCTGGCCAGAAAGGTCGATTTCAATGCAAGCGTTCACAGTGGTCATTTTCGCATTTGATCGAATCACTTCGTGATGATTCGTGAACTCACAGCTCTCGAAGTCTGGAAGATGCATGATTATTTATTAAAGAAGTTAACTTTAGAGGAGAAGATTGGTACAGTGCCATTGCGGGACAACAGTATTTGGGCGTAAAAGATGCATGGAGCGCACCAAAGTCCTGCACTCCATGGCCATTACTTACGCGAAAGTATTGTCAGCAATGCACTAATACTATATTGTCGTAAGAAAAGGAAACCCACAAAAAAGAGGATTGTTGTCAATGAGTTCATAGAATCGCTTTGTTCCGTAAGCATAACTAGTCACGATCTGAAGAATAAAAACAGAATTCTTACGAAAGACGGCCTTGTTCCAATTTCTTACCTTTCCTGGCAATATCGATTTCTTCAAACCTGTTATCACACCCATTTCTATCAAATCTATCACACCATCTCCCACTGCTTCTGTGTGAATTCCGAGATCTTTGTGATTTTTCATAGCCGCCAATGTTGTGTCCGGCAAAGTGCCAATGCCTAAATTTGAGAGACCTTTGGAAAATAAGGAAATTTATGGATTTTAGTCTCGCTTACCTAATTGTAAAGTGGCTCCATCTTCGACTAGATTCTCAGCTATCAATTTTCCGATTGTTTTTTCGACCTAACAAAGAAGTCGGATTAGTGTAGACTAAAGAAGAAAAGTGGGAATAATTTGCTCTAGAAACTGTGTCCTAATTTGCTCAAAATTATTAAGAAAGGACCAGTTCCCGCACTTGCTGTGGGCGTACAGAAGGGATCATCCCATTTTTCAAGGTGAAAAATCCGACTTTATCGTGAAAATAAGATCTTTTTAGGGCTGATTCTGAATTACCTGACTGGGCTCCTTTCCGTCTGGTTTCGCGTGAACATCACGGTCTTTTACTTCTACCATGTAGTCGATTTGTGAGATGTGGATAGATGTGTCACCGTGGGTTCGTGGCAAAGATGGGTTTACCAGAGCTGGATAGGGTATAGTTGAGAATTTCGCAAGTAACGAGAACTGGTCCCCAGCGCTCTATAATTTTCGTAGTTTACTACCGGTTTCAAATACTGAGAGTTCGTTAAGCGCACAAACGTATTGATATCCAAGTTCCTGAATATCAAGCTGGAGACCAGTTCTCGCTCTTAGTAGTTCAGCTGATGCTTACCTACAATTTTCTTTGCATTACTTGCTGCAGCTCTGGAACAGTCAATGTCTACCCCCATTGTGCAAAATCCTCGTTTATCTGAATAGATATTTCAGGTAGGTCAGTAGAGGGGGAAACTCACCTGGAGGGCTTACGGAAATCAGCGCTACATCCACGGGTAATTCTCTGCTATAGAAAAGTGAGGGAATTTGTGAGAGAAATACAGGAGTGTAATCGGCGTGACCTAAAAAAATTGGCAGAGTTCTTCGCTAAAAATGTTTGGAGAAATTTCAAAAAGTGTTAGGAGAAATTGATAGCGCTTACAGAGACACCCTAGTCACGCTCAAAGCTTTTTTGCGTTTTTTCCCAGGCTTCAAACCTCTTAGCGCTCAATTTTATGAAAAAGGGGCGTGGCTTCCGAGAAAATAATTTGAATTTCTGTAGAATTTAGAGAACGTTCCGGTATTAGCAAAAAAAATCATGCGCAGAAGTTGAAAACTTGGGTCAATTCAAATTTCTTTAGCCATTTTTAGGAACAGGCTGGGCACCAGTAATATATTCTCTTCTGAAATATACGATAAATCGAAGAGATACAATATCTAGTTTATTTTATTGTCTTTTTTAAGCTTTAGTCTTGTTGTGTTCATTTTGATACTATTTATCGCGAAGCGATTATCAGTAGTTCTTTAACCATACCTCTATGAAACAACAATTCACAAAAAATTATGTAACTAACTCATAATTGTATAAAATTGTATAGAATCGTGATCTCCCTATTTTCTAGTGTTATAAACTCGTATTCCATGCGTTAAAAAGGCTAGCGCAAGCAGCCACAGGTACGACGCAGGAAGAGGGGCGCTCCCAATCGGCGGGTTGATGGTATCTCTGGCACCTTTGCATTTAACCGAGAAAATCTTTCGCCTTTTACTAAAGATTTCCGTGCAAAGGTGTATTTTATGAGTATTGAATAATTTTTGGGATCCCCTCGAAAGAGCGGGATGTAAATAAAGCGAAGAAGTTACATTGAGAAATGAAATTATGCTAAAGTATTCGATTAATTTGATCGATTGCGTTATGTGAAAGAACGAGGTGTCACATTTTTTTCGAAATTTTAGCAATACTAAAAAAATTGGTTCTGCAGAAATGTAAGCATCCGTATAACTCTAGATTTATTAATCTCGGAACCCCTTATAACCTAGTTCCCAGTTCATTAGAAATTATGGGTACTTCTGTCACCCTCAAGTGTTCTCGAACTTGTTTGAAGAAATATAGTATAGCTGGGCAGAAAAAAAACAATGTAAAAAGTTCAAAAATCCAATGCACAGCAAAGAAATGGTATAAAAACAAAAAATCTATTTTAGAAACGTCTATACTAAACTAGATGACAAAGACTTAATCTGTGAACTTGTACAAGATTTGATGCTTAGGACCCTACATAAAATTTAGAGTACAGCTATTCGAGATTCTTTATGCAAAGGGGAAGATACTATGTCATACTGTGGCGTATGCTGGAGGTATGACTCAAGATTAAGAATCTGGAGCTTTAACGTCAGTAACGACCAATGAGCCAATACTTCGAAGAATTTTAGATGCTCAAAAGACTCAAAGCTGTTAGGTTGTAACATAAGTCTAGAGACACTTTAACTTCTTACGGCGACAAGTCATGCAATTTACATTTTCAGTAAGGATCCAGGGCACCATTCGATAGCGCAAAGCAAGCCCTACAAGATGGTCTGCGAAAGTTCACCCTGGCTTTGACCCACTTTAAGTTTGCATCCAAAATGTGAGTCGTACTGAAGGCTCAGAAAATCGCGAAAAATTCATTTCTTTGCTCAAAAAAAAATCCTACGAATCTCCAACTTGCACACAAAGATTGCACACTACATCAAACACTCGTATGTACCGTTTCTGAATTTTTCCCTCATTTAGAAATGAGAAAACGAAAATTTTCAAGTTGTTAGTTGTTAAAGTGTTATCCTTGCTGAGGATATTTCGAATAATAATTTTTGAATTTTTTGATCATCATCAAAATAAAAATTACATTCGTGGTATTCCATAGGTAATCTGTGAACAGACAGTCGGAAATTCTCATAAGTTGTATTCGAAAAAATTACCCTAACGTTTTACTGACAAATTCCCATGATTTCTTTTGGGTTTTTGGCACGATGCTACTAAGGCTACTGGGGTGAGTGCATTATACTTTTTACGTTGTTACCTGTCATTACCATGCGCTACCCAATTTAGCGCAAACAGCGGCAGGTACGGCGCTGCAGGCTGGAGCGCCCCCAATCAAAGGTTCTAGGGTATCTCTGGCTCCTTTGCATTTAACCGAGAAAATCTTTCGCCTTTTACTAAAGATTTCCGTGCAAAGGTGCATTTTATGAGTATTTAATAATTTTTGGAATCCCCTCGAAAGAAAGGGATGCAAACAGTCAGCAAGAGAAGAAAATTGAACCGAAGTAAGTAGCTAGTAGGAAATGTGAACCAATGAAAGCGAACTATGACTTTTTTCATTTTTCTTGATCTTTACCCAGGGGTCGGCACGAGCTGGCACCAGGAAATTCTCAAAACGAAGTCCCCTTTGACCCTCAACCACATTTCCTCTAAAAACCTAATCTCCAAAAAACGAAAAAAAGGTCGCAGATTTTCTGTGTGTCTTCGGCCGCAAAAACGAAAACCCCTTTGCTTTTTGCCAAAAACGATATCCAGCTTGCCCCATGCCAGCTGGTGCCAGGCCCTGTCTTTACCTAATTCAATATCCGTCAGAGGCAGCGTCGACCAAAATACAATGAATCAAATGAGAAGATAGCTTATGATTGCCAAAAGGATACAAGATTTCACGGTTTTGTATCTATTTTGACATTTCCGGTTTCGGGGCTAAGAACTATACCGGTAGCGCAGTTTCTTGGTGGTCCTCATCAGTAGTCCACAAGGAAGCTTCAAAAATATAGTAAGATACTACTAAGATACTAGCCCTATAAAATTTCAGCGGAATAAAAGGCAATAAACTTTGAAGAGAAGTTTTGCACATTACTCTAAAGCCTGTAAGCAGGCCTTAAAAGTGAAGCAACTGCTCTGGTCCGGTCTCTCAACATTGTCTCTAAAAGAAGAAAATGGACATGCAGTTTGAAAATCCCAGTTCCTCTCCGCCCCCTTTTTTTGCGCTCCGCCCAATGAAGAGTTGTTCCAGGATTGCTACCTGACATGGCAAACACAGTTGAGACGCATAGTGGATAACTCTGTCCGTGCTGCATACATAGTTTCTACGGTTTGGGTTAACTTGTACCTCAAATCTGAAATCAGAATCATGGAAAGGTCCCGAATCAATTTTTAAAGGGATAGAAAACGAAAATCTGGGTGGACGCTGGGTGCATCATCTTTTTTAGAATGTTTTCAATGAGTTATAATATACTTTGCAAAATCAGTATTTTGTATTAAGAGTGATGTAGAAGCAGGAGTACAGGACCCAAAAGTAGCTATGGTAGCCAATAACCAGCCGCTAAGAGATTCTCCATAGAAAGGGCGCCTTTGGCATACTCTAGAGGTCGAACGCGACAGTAATTGCGAGTTTTGGAGCGCTGCCAAATCTATATTAGATCAATCATGATGAGTCACGCACCGACATCATCCAGAAATTTCGGATGCATAGCTAACCTAGCGAAGAAATGGATGGAATGGACGAAATTTGAATTTTAGGGTACTCCAAGTTCTCCTTTCAATTTGAATGAAGTAAAAAGTTATTTTTTTGAACGATGCTTGAAATAAATCTAGTAAACGTCGTGACGGAAGGGGAACGAATACTATGGTATTTAGATGAACCCCTCAATAAGTCGAAAAGTTCAAAAAAGACATCAGCGGCCAATGAAAATGACCAAAATGGGAATTTACCGTACCTCCTGCAAGTATAGTCAAGGGAAATTATCAAAATTTTGAAAATGATTCCGGTCAGCTTCTGCCATGATGCCCGAACATTTACAAGCTTGGGTTTGAATTTGTTTTTTTGTATTATTTCCTCAGCATTGCTACACGTTAAACAGCGCAGCGCAAACCGCGCTCGGTACGCCGCTGCGCTACCGAGCACCTCGAGTCGGCCGGTTGATGGTATCTCTGGCTCCTTTGCATTTAACCGAGAAAATCTTTCGTCTTTTACTAAAGATTTCCGTGCTAAAGGTACATTTTATGAGTATTTAATAATTTTTGGAATCCCCTCGAAAGAGCGGGGTGCAAAGAATCTGCTAAGCAAATGTAATGCTTATTATGTGTTGTTAACAAAATAGTATTCATCAATTACAAAATATTTTCAGGTCGTTTATAAGTTAACATGTGAGTTTGCACACTGCACACGACAATTGACGGCACCTTACTAATACATAACTCATCATTTTTGCTAGTGCAACGAATTGAGGGGTACTACCTAATAAAGATCCAATCAAACCAAAAAGGGAAGAAAGGAAGGGGAAAACCTTCGAAATCAAAAATTTCAATCTTACTAGTCGTAAAGTAGCGAGCGTAGTGTGCAATTTGCCTTTCAAGTTACAAACGACTCGACGAACAAACGAACGAACATTCCAAAATATGTCAACGTAACTCTTGTTTTCTTCGCACTGCTTTGCATCCCGCTCTTGCGAGGGGATTCCAAAAATTATCCACTACTCATAAAATGCATCTTTGCACGGAAATCTTTAGTAAAAGGCGAAAGATTTTCTCGGTTAAATGCAAAGGTGCCAGAGATACCATTTACTTGTCAATGGAGGGTGCTTGCAATGCAGCGGCGTATTTAGCGCTGCTTGTACTAAGCTATTTTGCGTGTAGAAATGCTGGGTGGGAGTAGAAAAAAACGGAACATAAGGCCTGTAGGTACTTATAGTAGCATCACTGTGGAAGTCATGAATATTTTTGAAAATATAATTCGAAGATAATTATTTCTTAACTTTTTATGTGGTGAATTTCATACAAATCTTGAAATAAATGATTGACTTTTTTGGAAATGCTTTCCCACATCAAATCTCCACGACTAGCGGTATAGGGTTTTCAGAGTCATTTTTATTGTTGGAGAGTAGCATTATATTTGTTATTGTTTGTTTGTTGTTGTTTAGTGATCTGATCTATTGGTGTTGTGTTGACCTATGCGCGGGATCTGAGCGCTATATAAGGCGCTCCCTGCTAGCTAAGTCATTCGTTCGTCTCGTCTTATCGTCTTGTTCTTATTCATATCCGGTCTACTAATAAACCTATTATTCTACA